CGTCCCGTAGCGCCCTAGGCCTCCAACTCTGCCAGTCACGCCCTACTAAGCTGCTCTAAGTGTTTAGGGTTTCGGCAGCAGCACTTCCGACCTCTTTGCTTCTGCTATGGCGACCCCAATGATCCTGCGCTTTGACGTCGAGGGTAGGCCGCTCGAGTTCTTGGTCTGGCTCCTATGTGCGCGCCATCTTTTAGAGAGTCAGGTTCAGGCAGATGAGTCTTTGTGGGCGCACGCTTCCGGCGACCTTCTTAAGCCCGACGACCCTGCACCCTTAGGCGCTGACCCAAGCAGTGCAGACAGAGACCGTTATGCTCGCCAGCGTGCTGACCTGACAGCGTAGAATTCGCGTGACGCTGCGGCCTGCATCACCCTCAGCAGCCTCCTCCATGAGTCTGAGGAGGCCCACTTCACGCAGGTTAGCACAGCTAGTGAGTTACTGACTGCGATCAAGGCCCGCTACGCTACTCCCACCACTGTCTCTCTTGGTCCCCTGTTCCTCCCGTTCTTGTTTCCTGACCTCGCCTCGTTTGAGCGCTCTGCTGACTTGATCGCTCACATGCGCTCGCTCAATTCTAGCTACCGCGCTGCCTGTACTGATGCACAGCTTGCACTGCTCCCTCCCCCTATGGCGATTACTATCTATTTCATCGCCACTAGCCTCCCTGGCCGTCTTGCCTCGTTTCATGACGCGCTTCTTCTGAAGCACCTTAGCAAGCTCACTATCAAGGTCCTTGAGTCTGCCCTCAAGGACGTCGAGAGCAACCTCCGATCGGTAGCCTCCGCCTCTGGTGCTGTCCCCCCTCCACTGTTTTACGAGTGCACTGTCCCTCAGCTGCCCACCTTTACTGCCTCCCTCGCCACTGCCGCTACTGACGTTACCGCAGCTGCTGTTACGACTTCCTCGCGGTCTTGGGGTAGGAGTGGCAGAAGGGACGGTCAGGGTGCGGGCGGAGGCGGCGGAGGTGGCGGAGGTGGCGTGGCGAGCGGTGGTGGCGGGAGTACAGAGGTTGGAGGAGCCATTCGTGCAGCGGCTAGTGACTCCCCTGCTGCAGCTGGTGGAGGTGACACTCGGGTTCGTCAGACACCTGCTGATCCACCAGCTGCAGGTGCAGGAGTGGCGGCTTGGTACCTGACTCAGCGGCAGCAGCTGCAGCAGCAGCCACAGCAGCAGCAGCGGCAGTAGTAGACGCCGGGGCAGGGGTCAGGACCGCGTCAGCCATTGCGCGGTGCCGTCCACCCTCCTTGCACCTATCTCTTTCAGACAAGTGCGTGCCGAGGCCTCCCCTGTGGCCGCACCCACCCACCGGGTCAGTGCTTTTCTCAGCTCACTGACACACTTCGTGCGGCCTACGGCGTTGGCGGCCCTACCCCTGAATGGCTTCCCCTTGTTCAGATGTACGGCCCCGCTCTGTGGGGCATGTCGGCTTCTCAGCTGCTTGATCTCTTAGGAACTCGGCATGCTATGTATGCTGCTGTTGACTCTAGTGCTTCTGACTCTGTTTACTCAAGTGTTGTTAGCTTAGTTGCTAGTATTGCTGAGGTGCCTGTTGCTAGCGTAGATACTTGTGTAGACACTAGTCTAGGAGCTGCTCCGGAGGACACTTCGCTGTCTTTCACTCTGGACTCCGGAGCTTCGCACTGCTTCTTCCGCAACCACACGACATTTATTCCGCTTCCTGCGCCGGTCTCTGTAGCACTCGCTGATCCCACTTCGAGACCAGTCACTGCTCACTACACTACTACGCTCCTGTGCGTAGGAATTCCCTAGGGTTTCCTAATGGGCTTCCACGTCCCCTCCATGATCCACGCCCGTGCGCCCCATTTTCTGTGGCCCTACGCGGTTCAGTACGCCGCTCACCAGTTGAACCTCTAGCCACGTGTCTCTCGGCCAGAGGCTTTACCGACTAGTTATTGGACTGGGTTCCCTGGTGCTGCGTCGTGTTTTCGTGTCTGGGGCTGCTTGGCACTTGTTCGTGACACCTCCGCGGACAAGCTTTCCCCTCGTGCCCTTCCCTGCGTCTTCCTTGGTTTCCCCAAGGACTCGTATGACTTCACCTTTTACCACCCTCCCCTTTACCGGTTCTTTGACTCCCGCGACGTTCGTTTTGTCAAGTCAGTCCCCTACTACACCAGGTACCCCTGTCGAGGTCTCCCGATTCCTCCTCCCCCTCTCTTCCTAACTCTCGCTCCCCCTCCTGCCCCTCCGGTAGAGCCCCCCCCCCCTGGTCCAGCCCTGTCAGGTGTGTCACAAGCTACCCCCCCCCCCCCCCCTCCCACCCCTCGGTAGCCCCTCGGTGCGTCCCCTTCCCCACAGTCCTCATCACAGCCTACTGCAGACCCTGCGGGAGCAGGTGCTCGTGTCGAGGACCCTGGGGGTGCTACCTCTGGAGGTGTTGGAGTTGGAGCTGAGACTGTGCCTGCACGAGGCCCTGGTGCTGGGGGTGCTGGAGTTGGAGCTGAGCCTGTGCCTATAGGAGGTTCTAGTCTTCGAGGAGCTGGTGTTAGTCAAGCTGTTCCTGGGGGTGCTACGACTGAGGGTGCGGGTGCACCCACCGCGGGACCTCGAGAGTCTGGGACTGGCCGCGTTGCTGGTGGTGGTGCTGGCTCTGGGGGTGGTGCGACTGGTGCTTTGGAGAGCGGTCCTAGGGCTACCACCGCCCCGGACACTACTCCTCCCCCCCACCCATACCCGACCCAGCACCACGCCCGTCTTTGCCTTCCATGTGAGGAGCAGCTGGAGTTGGAGCGGGAGGGGCGAGAGTTGGAGCGGCAGCAGCTGGAGCTATAGCAGCAGCCGCAGCTGCAGGAGCAGTTGGAGCAGCAGAAGCCGCAGCTAGAGGAGCCGCAACCAACGCAGCAGGAGCAACAAGAGCAGCACCACCAGCAGCAGCTGCCACCTCTGCCTCCTGTCTCTGGCCTTCGGGCCCTCGGTCTTCCCTCTCCCTCTCCTCCCCCTCTCCCTCTCCTCCTGTCTACGGTCCCATTTTTCCTCCTCCTGACCCCACCCCAGCTGTTTTCCCCCGTTCTCAACCTCCGTTGTCCCCTCCTCTTTCTTACGCTTGGACTTCTCGCTCTCCTCGTGCTCGTCCCTCGTCTCCTATCCCTGTCACTGACCTTCGTACTGTCCTGTTCCGTCCTAGACCGCCTTGTTCGTCTCCGTCTGTGCTTCCTTCTCCTCTTGAGTCGGCCCTCACTGCTTCCCTCTCTACTCCTATCACTGACTACTACCGCACGTATTGACCTGTTGTCTCTCGTGTTCAGCATCCTTGCTCGCTTTGTTGCGCCAAGGAGACACCGTCCAGTTCACTGGACAGCTACTGTGATGGTGGCTAAGTACCTAGCGACGACATCAGGCGTGGGGCTGGTTCTTGAAGAGAGACAGCCTATCTTACTTACTGGACACTATGACTCTTCTTACGCTGACGACGCCGAGACTCACAAGTCTACTCAGGGGTACTGCTTCAGCCTGGGCTCTGGAGCTTTTTCGTGGAGGTCCACGCGTTCCTCCTCGATCTCGACCTCTACCGCCGAGGCTGAGATCTACGCTGGAGCCATGGCTGCACAGGAGCTGCGTTGGTTGGCTTTCTTGCTCACCGACCTTGGTGAGCGGCCGAGCTCTGCACCGACCTTGTTTACTGACAACAAGGCGTCGATTCTCCTCTGTCGAGAGTCGCGACTGGAGAGCAGAGTGAAGCACATCAATGTCAAGTACTTTCTTCTGCGAGAGTTGCAGAGGCGTGGACAGGCTCGCTGCAGACATCTTCACAAAGGCCCTTCCGCCTTGTGACCACCAGAGTTGTTGTGTGCAGTTAGGTCTCGTTGACACAGGTTCTCGCCTCGCGTAGTCTTGAGTTGTCTGCTTGCTTTGTTTGTACGCTTTATATATACCTCTGTGAACTCTTGAACTGGCCTTGTGACTCTTTTGCTTGTGCTCAGAGTAACATTGTGATCCACCCTGAGCTTTGTTGCTTTGTGACTGGTCTTGTGACCGTACGTTGTTGGTTTTGCTTGACACCCCTCACTTAGGCTATTGGGGGTGTGTCAGACGTTATAGTCTTAGTGATGTGTGTCATATGGATTACAACAATTAGGGTTAGGTTTATGTACCCCAACTAGCTTTAGTGAAATCATCATTCCGTTCTTGACACAGCACTGCATGGTCGACCGCGCTCCAGCAGTGCAACGTCATGGTCTGACAACGCTGCAAGTCGGCGGTGTGATAAGGCTGTATCAAGGCGGCTGCACAGCGTTGCACCTGCAGGAAAGCAGCGCACCTGCTGGTTGGGTTGGGTTAACTTGTGGTTTACACTGTTTGGAGTGGAGCACCTCCCAAACCTTACAGGTTAGGGTTCTCTTTTGTTGCAACATACTTCTTGAATCTAACATGGTTCAAGATTTAAGGAGGTTCTAAGACAACTATAGCTTCCAATCCGACCATTCTGACAAGGCCGGTGGTTGGTGTCGCAGTTTTCTGAATGGGCACCAATGGAAATACTCATTCATGGTAATGCAATTTATTGTGGTCTTTGCACAACACACAGACGCTGAAAGTGCCATGACTTACGCAGCAGTTGGGTGAGGCTGTGCCGTGAAGCTTTTATCCAAGCGAGATTCGACAGCAGTGCCACGCACATGTTCAGCACCTTTTCAAAGCTTGAATGGCGATGCTGGTGAGGCAAAGCCTTCACAACCACCTATGGCAGAAGCAACGTTGTGACTACAGCAAAGAATTACACCACCAGAGATGTTGGGATAAGCCAAGCATAGTGAATGCAAAGCAGAAGCTAGTGTTATTGCTAAAGGCTAGAACGCTTCAAAGAATTTCCTCATTATGTAACTAGTTAAAATGGTAAAGAAACTACGAGGATACCAACGCAGGTACACAACCAAAAGTGAGTTCGGTTTGAAATGACATGATGAGTGTTTCAAGCGCAACACTGGATTCGAGGGGAGCATGTGTGCGAGTGGTGGCGGTGGTGAGCACATCAACCAGAAACGCTTCACATGGCAGCACGGGCAGCAGAGGCAGAAGAGGCACTCGGCAGCAGTGGGGTGGGTTGCAGCCACACCGTTAGAAACGCCCTGAGCCGTCCCCTCACATGAGCCAACGCGCTTGGATCAGAGCAGGAGGATTTGGCGCCTGGAATGGAGCAGGGACAGAGGACGGGAGCAAGAGAGCATGAGCACGGAGAGGGTAAGGCAGCGGCACTGAGGATGTACGGAGTTGCTCGGCGGAGTGGGGGGCGCAGGGTGGGTTCGGGCTTGCATGCACGGAACACAAGGTGGCGGGCGGTGGAGAGAAAGGTTCGTGATGGGGTCAGGTAGAGAGAGAAGGATAGAGAGTGAGAGCAAGCAGAGAGCAGAAAATTAGAGGAGAGGGAGGAGAGGAGTGGCAGGGGCAGAAAGGAGCACCGTGGGCGTGGTGGTCGTTGAGCCAGGTGGGGCAGCCACGCATGTCCACCCCGTGGCCGCAGTTGTGACACTCCACCACCGTGCTCGGCACTGCCATGGGGAGATGCAGAGGGCAAGGCGCAGGGCATGGCGTGGGGCATGAGGCAGGGAAGTGGAGCATGGCGCATGGGGTATGGGACATGGAGTGTGTGGCATGGGGCGTGGGGCATGTTGCATGTGGTATGGGGTATGGGGTATGGGGCATGTTTGGGTGGAGAACTGGTTTGCAAAATTAGGAGAGAAAGAGCGCTGCTAGTGAAGGCATGAGGAGAACCAACGTAACAAGTTCAGTACTGGCAGCGGCTTTAAGGAGTGACTCACTGGCAGCGGTGGCAACAAGTCGCGAGGCGCGCTTCCAAGGGTCCTGCGACCCGTTGGTGAAGTAGATGCGCGACGCTGAGCACGGGGGAGGGGGGAGGGGGTAGGGGGTAGCAGGGGAGGAAGAAGGCCGGAGGAGGGAGGGGGGGGGAAGGGGTGAGGAAGGGCATGAACAAGCCGAGGCACGAAAAGGTGATGCTGAGGGATGAGATGCATAGAAACACGAGTGACGTGCACAGCACAAGAAATTCAGCAAGTGAAGGAAAGTAAGAAGCAGCAGCATGAGGTGAGAGTGGTTGTGACTGACAGGCGATGGAAGTGGCGCCAAAGAAAGTGTTGGTGGCGTCCACATCAGGGAAGAGCGCCCGTGGGTGGTCCCCGTACACTGCCGCGCACAGGCCCTGCCAGTAGCTGCAGTGCCGTGCGCGGAGGCAGGGGAGGAGACACAATGCTGTGAGCACACTGCCCAGGGAAAGACTGAAAGAGATTCAAAGAAAGAAAGGAACTTGTGAGGGAGACAGGGAGGGTAAAGTGATGGCACCAAGAGCACACGAGGCAGCATCAACCATGTTGGAGCACCAACCATGTTGGCAGCACCAACCATGTTGGCAGCACCAACCATGTTGGCAGCACCAACCATGTTGGCAGCATCAACCATGTTGGCAGCACCAACCATGTCGGCAGCATCAACCATGTTGGCAGCATCAACCATGTTGGCAGCACCAACCATGTTGGCAGCACCAACCATGTTGGCAGCACCAACCATGTTGGCAGCACCAACCATGTTGGCAGCACCAAACATGTTGGCAGCACCAACCATGTTGGCAGCACCAACCATGTTGGCAGCACCAACCATGTTGGCAGCACCAACCATGTTGGCAGCACCAACCATGTTGGCAGCACCAACCATGTTGGCAGCACCAACCATGTTGGCAGCACCAACCATGTTGGCAGCACCAACCATGTTGGCAGCACCAACCATGTTGGCAGCACCAACCATGTTGGCAGCACCAACCATGTTGGCAGCACCAACCATGTTGGCAGCATCAACCATGTTGGCAGCATCAACCATGTTGGCAGCACCAACCATGTTGGCAGCACCAACCATGTTGGCAGCATCAACCATGTTGGCAGCATCAACCATGTTGGCAGCATCAACCATGTTGGCAGCATCAACCATGTTGGCAGCACCAACCATGTTGGCAGCACCAACCATGTTGGCAGCATCAACCATGTTGGCAGCACCAACCATGTTGGGAGCATCAACCATGTTGGCAGCATCAACCATGTTGGCAGCATCAACCATGTTGGCAGCACCAACCATATTGGCAGCATCAACCATGTTGGCAGCACCAACCATGTTGGCAGCACCAACCATGTTGGCAGCACCAGCCATGTTGGCAGCATCAACCATGTTGGCAGCACCAACCATCAAACAACTTCACCACCGCACCTCCCATTCACCACCGCACCTCCCATTCACCACCGCACCTCCCATTCACCACCGCACCTCCCATTCACCACCGCACCTCCCATTCACCACTGCACCTCCCATTCACCACCGCACCTCCCATTCACCACCGCACCTCCCATTCACCACCGCACCTCCCATTCACCACCGCACCTCCCATTCACCACCGCACCTCCCATTCACCACCGCACCTCCCATTCACCACCGCACCTCCCATTCACCACCGCACCTCCCATTCACCACCGCACCTCCCATTCACCACCGCACCTCCCATTCACCACCGCACCTCCCATTCACCACCGCAACTCCCATTCACCACTGCACCTCCCATTCACCACCGCACCTCCCATTCACCACCGGCACCTCCCATTCACCACCGCACCTCTTGTTCACCATCACACCTCATGTTCAAAGCATTGGATCGAATGCGAGGGCCGAGGCGGGCGGGTGTCTGGAAGAAGGCCATTTGCGAGCAGCACTGGTACAGCCACGTGCGCATGTCTGCAGGATGCAAGGCAAGGGTTCCATTGGATTTTTCTAAACAACTATTGCCTTTCGCACGAGGCATCCACCACATCATGCTGCTCTTCTTCGTGCCCAGAATTGATCACTTCTTCATCATGCTTGCGAGCAGCACTGGTATAGCCACGCATGCATGCCCGCTGGATGGTGCCATGGGGGATGGTGCCATGGGGGATGGTGCCATGACAGATGGCGACGCACAGGAAAGTAACATTAGAAAACAATCAATGGAAAATGAGCCTTGGGAAGGTGCTGGGAGCATTGGCCATACCACGCACAGGCACTGTGTTGTGGAGCCGTGAAAGAAGCAGGACCGTCAACACGGTGGAAGGAGAAGAGTGAATAAGCACATCACAAACAGTTTGCAGCAAAGCGAAAGAATCAAGCCTCCTGGATAACAGAAAATAAAGGCCCACTTCTTCTTATCCCCCATGCGTAGGCTCACCTCCACTATGTAATCCCATGGCAACACAGGCAGCAGGACGCAGGCTGCCATGACTGGAGAGGAAAGGCATGCAAAGCAGCACAAGTGGGAGAGGCAGCAGCATGGGGAGCGGACTGACTGGCAGAGGGAGCTGCGAGCGACGTGTTGGCGAGCGCATGGCGGTCGTAATCAGAAGGGGCCGATCCGAAGTGAGCGAAGAAAAGGTCTCGCACGTAGGCCGCAAAGGCCTCCTGATGGCATGGGCGCAATGGGTGGAGGGAGGGGGAGGGAGGACAGGGGTGTGTGCATGGAGGAAAAAATCTCTGGTGGGACACAAGCAGTCGTCATACACCTATCCGCTCGTGTGAAGTTCTTCATTCGGGCCTACCATGGCATCACATCCCAGCATACCATGGCATCACATCCCAGCATACCATGGTATCAGAGCCCGTGACATGAGAGTGGATGAGGGGGTCACACAGCTGGTCCGGGCGGCCATACTGAAACTGAAGAGAGAGGCGCCAGTGTGAGGGGTGGAATGATGACAAGGAGCGATTGGATGGAAATACACAAGGGGCGAATCAGGGAGCGAAGGGAGAAAGAAGGTAATGCGGTGATAGATTTGGTGGAGTAAAGTGAGTGCAGGAGCGAGGTGGAGAAACAGCAGGAACGTGGATAACGAGATGAGAAGGCCAGAAGCAGATCACATACAAAGCACGTCATGTGGTACACAAATTATAACAGGTATATAAGTGCATCTCGCATGCAGTAGCATGCAGCTAGGCTTGCTGGTGTGGCTGCACATGTGGCGTACCGCAAAGACAGCAGCGTCTGCGAGGAGGAAGAGGAAGTCCCCATCGTGCTCCACCTGGCAGCACGCACATGGGAGAGGGCGGGCAGGGCGCACATGGGAGAGGGCGGGCAGGGCGCACATGGGAGAGGGCGGGCAGGGCGCACATGGGAGAGGGCGGGCAGGGCGCACATGGGAGAGGGCGGGCAGGGCGCACATGGGAGAGGGCGGGCAGGGCGCACATGGAGAGGGTGGGCAGGGCGCACATGGAGAGGGTGGGCAGGGCGCACATGGAGAGGGTGGGCATACAGAGAGTTAACATGGGGAGAGGCGTGGAGGGTGCAGTGATACCCTGAGAGACAGGCTTGCAGGCGAGGAGGACGAGAGGCAAGGGAACAGAGTGCAAAGAGTGTGCAGTACAATGTATGCTAGCCATCTCTCCTGATCCAACAAAAACTCACATCAAAAGGCACACGTGCAAAGGAAAAACATGTCGAGAGTGGGATTTGAACCCACGCCCTTTCGGACTGGAACCTTAATCCAGCGCCTTAGACCAACTCGGCCATCTCGACGTTTCAATCGAATCTGGTACATATTTTATCCATTTCGGAAGGACAAACAGCGGTGACAGAGAACATAGAGGAGTAGAATGGAAGTTGAAACTTGGAAGCAATCTGAGAGAGCACATAGAGAGTGGCACGAGAGTGCAGAGGGAGTACGTGCAGAGGGAGTACGCACAGAGGCGGCAGCAAAGAGGTGCTTGACAGCCTGGCGGTCGCCCGGTGACGAGGCGAGTTGCTGCTCCACGCGGCGGGTGATGTTGGCGAGGATGGCGGCACACTGGGGGCCCGCTGACTGCACCACCTGGTCGCCGGGGAGAGGGCGCACGGGCAGGGGGTCAGGAAGGGGGTGAAGGGTGAAAGCGAAGTACGTCAGAAGGTGGAATTTGCATATCTGTTGATTGCTAATAGATCTTTTCAGGTTCCATGCAACGGGAACACATCCAGCACATAAGAAACGCTCAGCCAGCCTGTCATGACAGCATGGGGAATGGCTGGATGGCACACAAGGGATCGACATGCACATGCTTGCAACAACATCCCCTTACTCCAATTTCCAGGCCGCATAGAAGATGTCACCTTGGAAGTTCAGACTGAGAACCTCCTGTTCGCCTTGGCACTCCTTGTGAACACCATCGCCCCTCCTGCAGTCTGTAGTTCGTCCTACAGCATACATCTGCATTATCGCTGCAACTCTCCACGGCATGACAATAACCGCAGCCCCTCAGCATTGAAACAACTCCCCTCACCCAGAACGGCAGTGATACCCACCCTCATCCGCCCCTCACCCGCCCCTCATCCGCCCCTCACAAGCCCCTCACCTGCGCCTCAAACTCATGGAAGTCCTGAATGACGTTGATGACGGCGGACGAGGCAAGGCTGGCGCGGAAGAGGTGTGGGTAGGACAGGCGCGCCCACGCGCTCAGAGCGCCCGCGTACGACACGCCCGTCACCACCCACTGCCGCTCGGAGGCCCCATTGCTGCCGCCACGCGTCGTGCTGCTGTGAGACCCGTTGCTGTGAGACCCGTTGCTGTGAGACCCGTTGCTGTGAGACCCGTTGCTGTGAGACCCGTTGAACAGCTGGTCCAGCCGTTGCTGCGGTCACACAAGACATATAGGTACTGTGGTTTTCCCAGAATCTCAAAACTCGCTCACAAGGGCAGCAAGAAAGACAGAACAACCAGTTTGAGGGGGGAAGACACGAGCAACTAAAAGCAAGTGGTAAGAGGTAATCACAGGTGTCCCCCTCGCAGGGGTCTCTCCCTTAACCTAGCTCGCAGCCTCAGCGCACCTGGTAGAACTGCCGGAACGTGGCCAGGTCAGCCAGTGCCTGGTTGGCCGAGAGATATGCCAGGCTGGCAGTGGACAGGTCAGCGAAGGGCTGCGATTGGCCGTAGAAGCGATGCTCCAACGCCACCACGGCCGCCCCAAAGTGAGCGGCGAGCTCCTGCGAGGTGAGATGAGAGGCGGGTGAGATGGTACGTGCATGACAGATGGAGGGGGGTAACACCCTGGGGCTGGGTTGACAGGGCGAGAGAGAGCAACAGAAGGCTGAAAGTTAGTGAGGGAATAAGAGACGCAGCAGAAGGAGGAATGAGTGCGCTGTGGCAGGGAGCGGGAGGGAGGGCGAGGGAGAGCGGGAGGGAGAGCGGGGCACCATGCGGTAGTCGGAGGGGACGCCGTTGCAGGGCGCCTCGCCGCAGATGACGAGCATCACGGGGCCGCCCGCTGCGGCGTTGAAGTGCGTCAAGTCCTCGTGGTACCGCTGCCGGAAGGTGCGCCCGTCCTGCAACGTGGCATGCAGAAGCAAGCACATCCACCCATCATTTGAGTTGGCATGGTAGGCGATAAGAGATAGTATGGCATATACGACTAACTCCTTTGCTCTAGCAACCCTCCTTCAGCTTCTGCCTGCCGGTACGTACGGCGGGATTGAAGTGGTCCAGCGTCTGCTCCAACCACAGCTCGCCACGTCCGCTCGCTCCCGCTGCGCCTCGCTGCTTTGTGGCTTCCGCATCGCTCGCAGCGAGCCCCTGCCGCGGCGTGGCTGCTGCGGCGAGTCGCGCCTCGTGCGCGAGGTAGAGACGGTCGGACGCGGCGGCTGCGACGGCTGGGAGATTAATGGCGAGAAGAGCCGCGAGGGAGAGCAGGAGAGGATGACGCAACGCGCGCCTAACGCGAGAGGTGAACATTGGAGGAGGATTCGGAGCCATGGCGGGCAGATCTGGAGAGTGGAGGCAAGAACGGATGGCGTGTGACATGCGGGGCACGGAATTTGAATTTGTCATGCATGTATGCGCGCTTGAATGTCGTTCGGTCTTGGTAATGTGTTGATCCTGGAGGTACTTCCATGTTCACCGCCTGATTAAAAAAACAAATGAGTTAAATCCATTCTGAATATTTTCTGTTGCTCCACCAGCTCCAAAAGGTCTCATCAATTCAAGGGCCCACAACCCCTCCTCCGATATCTACCTTCAATCTGTGGACCTTGAGTCCCTTTGTCAGTTTTAGCATTTCACAAGGCGCTATTTCGAACAACCTTGGCACTTGAGGGATAACCCACACAGCAAACGTGTTGCAATTGAGGCAAGATTTCATACATGCGATGGGACCATGTCAGCCTGGCTTGGGTGGAGTATCCACATTGGTTCATCCTGGTGAGTCAATCTAGTCCAGCCCCTAACCTGCACCAAATCATGTATAGCTTGGTCCCACCAAGTGCCGTGCCCCTGCACTTTGTTTTGAAGTGGGCCAGCAAGGGGTCACCCCACAGGTGACTCACCAGGACCATGCCGTGTATAAATGACTGGGTTGGATCTGCACTTTTGGCACAGCCATAGCCTCATCGCCGGTGAGCCATCACAGGAGCGTCATCTCAAGGCCCACGACCCCAGCACGTCTCTCAGTGCGCCCCCATCCCCTTGCACCGTGCTCCACCGGTTCTCCAGCGTGGCGCAGTGCATGCGCTCGCGGTACAGAAACGGCTTCACCGCTGCATTCTGCTGCGCCACTTGCCTCGCCAGCCCCGCCACCCGGATGGCATACGCCAGCGCCATGCCCACGTCCGCCTTGGCACACTGCTTACTGCTGCCGCCGCCCGCCATGCTGGCGAGGCAGCGGCGGAGGCGACGGCGTGTGGGGGAGTGGAGGTTGAGGAGGTTGATGGCGTCGGCATCGTTGACGGAGTTGACGAGCAGCAGCGGCGTCATGGCGTAGCGCAACCCATGCTCCGGGAAGAAGCACCGCCACCGCCCGTCAGGGCCCTCCCCTGCACACAGGCAGGTGGAGAGTGGGTGGGGGCAGGAGGGGTTGATAAAACGAGTGGGGGGCACATGGACGCCAGCTTGACGACAGCACACCGTTACCATGGCAGGGCATGCAAGGGGCGGCAGGGCATGCAAGGGGCGGCAGCCAGGTTACCTCTAAGGCAGTCGGGGTCAGCGGACATGTTGTGGATGGCCACGAGGCGCTGCGCCACCTTGCGCATGAAGAACGTGCCACTCACATCCCGCATGTCTGTGAGTGGGAGAGGGGGGGGAGGGGGGGGGGGATGTTGCCAGCCAGCCCGTGGGGAAAAATTTGTGGTGAGTGAGTGCACGTCATATGTCGTCACTTCTGCCCTCCTAACTACTCCCCTATTTCGTAGAAGCCGTGGCGCACTCTGGACGCACAACTTCTTTTTCTGCACCCCCTCCCCCATCCCCTCCCCCTAGACCCTGCATGCAGGGCGGGCAGGGCGAGCAGCTGGGCGCACCGGGGAAGAAGCCGCCGTCCATGATGCAGCGCTTGGCGGCCGCCGTGGGCAGCAGGCGGGCGAGCGCGTCGCACTGCATGGCCACCGCCTGCGCGCCCGCCGAGCACCCCGCCACCACCACCCGCTGCGCGCCCTGCATCCCCCGCGCCACCCGCATGTCTGCTCCGAGGGGGAGAAAGGTGTGGGGGGGGAGGGGAAGGAGAATTGGAAAAAAAGGGCGAGCAGGTGGTGATGAGGAATGAGTGAGTGGAAGGGGTGGTGGTGAGTCTGGGGCGAGAGGCGCACTCGCGGCGGCAGTGTGGGGCGAGAGGCGCACTCACGGCGGCAGTGTGGGGCGAGAGGCGCACTCACGGCGGCAGTGTGGGGCGAGAGGCGCACTCGCGGCGGCAGTGTGGGGCGAGAGGCGCACTCACGGCGGCAGTGTGGGGCGAGAGGCGCACTCACGGCGGATGACGGACTTGAGGATGCTTCTGCCGCCCGCCACGAGCGACGAGGAGCGCGTGGCGTTGAAGCGGCCGCGCGTGCCGGAGAAGGCGGCGCCGTCGCAGTAAGCGATGAGCACGACGTGCCAGTTGAAGAAGCGCGGGTTGACGGCGGCGCTGCCGTGCAGCATGCCGTCCATGCCGTACCCCGTCAGCCGCTTCAACTGCCGCGGGCGCAGGGTAGGGGGGCACACGGTGGATGGGCGGACAAGGGGATGGCTGTCACTCCCATTGGTCTCGCGCTGGGGACCGGAGAGAGGCACAGCGATACAACGACTCAGCGACGCTTTCCTTCACGGGGCCAGTGGTGGTGTGGGGAGAATGGTGTACGGAGGCAGCTGCGCGTGTGACGGCAACGGCAGTGCGAGCGGCGAACCTGGGTGTTGAAGTCGGGGTGCGACGGGTGCGGCCACAGCGAGGAGCTCCCCAGCAGCGTGTTCGCGCGCCTGCGACACGAGCGCACCGAATAGCACCACGCGCCGCCCTAGGAAGGGGGACGAGGGGGAACCGGGAAAGAGTTGGTGTGGGTGGCAGTGGTGAGCGAGGGGCAGGAAGAGATGAGGGACGGGAAAAGAGGACGAGAGGGATGGGTGGCAGGCGAGGCATGGCAGCGCTGGGGCAACGGTAATGGTGGGACCGAAGCATGCTGGTTTTGAGTGATTCGCGTCAATCAACTCCCTGCCGTGCTCGCTTGTGCCACTGCACTCGCTCCTGCCTCTCCATGCCTCATTCTTCCTCAACACTCCCCGCCGCAGCGTGCCACATGCGCGTATGCCCGTACGACCGAATCCCCCCACCCGTCCCTTCTCCCGTCCGCATGCCCCGCGCCTCCACCATTCCCCAGCCAAACCCCTTTCCCCGTCCCCGCAGTCCCCACGCGCGCCGCTCACCGGCAGGAAGATGAGCCAGTTGCGCTGCCCCGTGCCGTGGCCCCGCCGGTAGTAGTACCCTGGCGGGCTGCCGGCCCGCACGCGGACGACGGGTGGGAGGCAAGCAACGGGGGAAGGGGGGGAGGGCAAGGAGGAGGGTAAAGGCTAATCATGGTATGCAGTGACGGGCATTGGCTGAGAGGAGCGCAACAAGGGATCGCGGCGAGGTGTGGGTGCTCGCAGGTTGCAAAAAGACCAACGCGTTCTTTCGCCCTTCGCTATCGTTTCCAGAGTCTCTCCCTTCCCCTCTCCCACGTCCCTCGCCACCCCCGTTCCTCATTCCCCCCCGCTCTCGTAGCGGCGGAGCGGGGCGAGCAGGGCGCGATCGACCACGCAGGCGCACAAGGCGGACATGCGCTCCGCCGCGCCTACCCGTCCAACGCTCCACATGCACCACAGCCGAGCCCTTCAAACCGAGGCTAACAGCTGAGCCTACGATCTGCCCTACCTGCCGTCGAGGCACCGCGCGCCCGCCGACACTTTCCTCAGCAGCGAGAACGATACTCTTGCGCGCCTCGCGCCAGGCTGCACTAGGGAAGGCGCGACCGGGGAAGACGGGAGCTGAACGTTGTCGACCTGCGCGAGTGCCGATATGACTGGCGTGGGGGAAGGGCAGAGCGCGCAGGCGCAGGCGCACAGCAGCTGCAGGAACCCGAACGGCAGAGGCGCGCGACCTGGCCGCCTCTCGCGGCGCAAGGCACGCGCTATGGGGCCCGATAATCTGCTGCGACGCGGCATTGCGACGAGGCGCGTGGGCACTTTACGACCTTCCGCACGTGCGTGAAAGATGACGAGATGGGATCACGTGGAATGAACGGATTGTAACACTACATGTGAATGGTTTTGGCGGGCCCAGCTTTGAGCCATCCAGCTGGCAAGGTTGAAAACGGAGAGGCAATGGACGGTGGAGGAAGAGGAGGATGAAGCTGTTGGGGACTCGGGAATTGGGACAGGGGAGACGAGGCAGCTGGGTAGGGGGCGCCTAGCGGAAAAGCTCCTCCCCCAAAGCTCGGGAAAAACATGCGCTTCGTTCGCCGGCGTGGGATTGCAAGAGAGGATGCTTGCTTTGAGAAAGCTTACCGCGTCGCGTGTGATTATGTCGCAATTCAATACGTTAGCTATTTTCGCGTCTTGTCCGCCAGTATGAATACTGGTCGGTGTAGTTCGCCCATTGAAAGAGTGCACGAAGTCAATAACTACAATTGATAAACACATGACAATTAAGTGAAGCATAGCAAAAATACCGTCTCCCGCCGGATAAAAGCGCCCCTGAGGTTATGATAAAGCGCCTTTTAGAGGTGGCGTTTATAATCAAATATTTCTACAAGCGCCAATGTCAATACAATGGCAAAATGGAAACGTGCCTTCTCATATGGAAGTGAAGCATTCTTAAAGGCATATCACATCCATTCAAGAACCATCGATAACGTGCATGAAAATCGTGAGACGTGGCCAACAATGTTACGATCAGAAGTCGATCGTGCCAAGATCACCTCACATCAGAGTGAATATAACTGAAGTGATTATAACAAAAGCAAGCTTATAATTATATAGTAAAACAAGAGAAACACGAAATGTCCTAATTAGCCATGTACTCGAAGGGGTACATTCACTTATTGCAGCGAATTTCAACCGTACGGTGCCAGAACCACTTTAGACAGCTTTCCGCCGAATCCTTCGTGCTGCAGCTGCTTGATGCTTCTGCTCCCAATGGTACAGAAGCTCCCAACCGTACGCAATGTTTCATGTAGTTCTGACCCTTCAAATTCGTACTCGCTACTGCATAATGCACAATATTTCTCATTTCACTTATCGTAACAAACGAGGCATCGAACCACGCCTTGTTTGACATGCCAGGTTCATTGAACATGATCAAGATCCATACCAATGCACACGCGGCTCAACACATGGTTGCCTAATCACATTCAGGATTAGGGCCCAGGGCACGTCAGGCTCAGGGTTCAGCCAAGAAGTGCCTTCTGGCCAAGATTCCCCGTCTCCGAGGTAAAGGGCTCCCCAACTCAGCTCATCTGCAAGGACTCTAAAGCATGGGGCACGGTTCCCTGCAGAGGAACCCATGCCGCGAAGTTAGAGGGGTCTCGAGCGAGGGTTTTGTTAGAAGATGTGAGAACAAGAATGGTGGGGTTAGGTGAAGGGAGGGGGGTACAAGGAGAATGTCGAGACGATTTCTGTACCCCATAAAGCTAGACCCCATACAGCATAGATACAACTAAGCATATATGTTTTGACACACCCCCATAGACGAAGTGGGGGACAGCTGGAGCAAGCAAGGGTTACAAGATCAGTCAAGAGAAGAAGCAAAGCAAAGCAAAGCTCAAGGTGGATCTCAAGATCACCACGCATTCTGAGCACAAGCAAGGGAACAAGGCCAGCTCACATGCAGAATTTATAAAAGCAATATACATGCAGTACACTGATCACAACCTAGCAAGGGCAAACATGTAGGTTTAATCATGTATATCAGAGTACAACAAGTGCAAGGCAAGATCAAGAGACAAGCAAGTGAGGCAGAGTGGGCACAAGCTTAAGAGCAGTGTAGAAACGCTGATGATCACTAGACCCAAGGGCCTTCGTGAAGACATCAGCAGTGTTGGCCCGTGTGGCCACGTAAGCAAGACGAAGCTGACCACGCTACTGCAGCTCTCGCGTAAGGAAGTAACGGAGAGCAATATGCTTCGTTCTGTGCTCCAGTCTCTGGTCCTGACACAAGGCAATCATGGCCTTGTTGTCGACATACGGAAGTGGAGGAGAACGAGGCCGGTCACCCAAGTCGGTCAGCAGGTAGGTCAGCCAGCGGAGCTCCAGTGCAGCAATAGGCACAGCGTAGATCTCAGCTTCGCAGCTGGAACTAAATATAGAAGACGAGCGAGTGGACCTCCACGAGACAGAACCAGCGCCGAGGCTGAAGCTGTACCCCTATGTCGACCTGGGAGTCGTCTGTGTGAGGATCTAGGATCGAGCTCAGAAAAGAGAATGAGAATTGAGTCGAATTGAATGAATCACCTGGGTACAACACGAGGCTATATATAGGCTCGACACAAGGCCCCGTAACCAGGTGTTACGCGAAGGTTCCGCGGGCCGCGTAGCGACCCGAACAGATCCTTACCGAATTCGGTAGAAGGCAATTCGGTGGCAACCGAAAAGCCAGAATTCGGAGCACGCAACCTAGCTCGGTGCTATAACTATAATAAAATATAGGAAAGCACCTAGCCTAGGAAATCAAGCAATTTATGCATGCATATAATTATCCTATGCCAGAAATAGCATAATAAAGTATAGGCAAGCAAGCATAGCTGGCATAAGCCGTCGTACTCTCACACGTCCCCCCCTCAAAGCTGGGTGGCGTGAGATACACCCTGCTTGACAAGATATTCCTTGAGAGCACGGCGTGCGTTGCCCATATTGTCAGAACATAATAGCTTACTTATTTGTGTAGGCTATAGTGGGGTATCCCATAGGGGGTACAACACAATTAGGGTTTCATATTTGTACTCACTTCATTCATAGTTCATTCATTCTCGTTCTTTCTTTCACATGGAATCAGAGCAGGTTCCCTCCTAGGGACTGCTTCTAGGGCCCACCGAAGCGCGCCCCGAGGCGCGTTTTTTTTTTTTTTTTTTTTCGCGACCCGTTGTGTCGCTCCCAGCGGCCCGTCGCGCCGCCCTTCCCTTAGCGGCCCCGCCGCCCTTCGATCGCGGCTCCGCCGCGCTTCCTTAGCGGCCCCGCCGCCCTTCGATCGCGGCCCCGCCGCCCTTCGATCGCGGCTCTGCCGCCCTTCCTTAGCAGCCAGGCCGCCCTCTGCTAAGCGGCCCCGCCGCCCTTCGATCGCGGCCCCGCCGCCCTCTGCTAAGCGGCCCCGCCGCCCTTCGATCGCGGCCTCGCCGCCCTCTGCTAAGCGGCCCCGCCGCCTTGCTCACGCGGCCTCGCCGCCCTCTGCTACGCGGCCTCGCCGCCGGGTCGCCCGTGCACGTGCTCGTGCACCCGCCCGTGCACCTACCCGTGCGGCCGCCAGTGCAGCCGCCCGTGCGCAGCCTACGAGCCGCCCCAGCCGCCCGTGCAGCCGCCCGTGCATCGCCCGTGAGCCGCCCCAACCGCACGTGCAGCCGCCCGCGAGCCGTCCCAGCCGACCGTGCGGCCGCCCGCGAGACGCCCGCGCCGCCCGAGCCGCCCGAGCCGCCCGCGAGACGCCCGCGCCGCCCGAGCCGCCAAAGCCGCCCGCGAGACGCCTGCGCCGCCCGAGCCGCCCGAGCCGCCCGAGCCGCCCGAGCCGCCCGAGCCGTCCGTGCCGCCCGAGCCGCCCGAGGAGCCGATCTTCTGCTCCTGTGAGGCTCCTACTGCTCCTGGGCCGGCGCAGCTGCTGTGCTGCCGTGTTGCTGTGTCGCTGTGCTACCCGACTCTTCCTGCCCGGTGAGACTGTCAGCTGCTACAATGGCCACCCCCAGTGTCCTGACTTTTGACGCTGAGGGTCGCGCCATTGACTTTGCAGTCTGGATTGAGGACCTGCAGCTGTACTTACTGTGCGATGCGATCGATGAGGTTTCTCTCTTTGACGTTGTCTCTGGCGCTGTCCCTGCCCCTCCTGCTGATGCTGACCCCACTGTTCGCTCCAAGTGGGCCACACGCGATGCTGCTGCACGTCTTGCTGTGCATCGCCACCTCCCTTCCTCCGAGCGTGCACACTTTAGTCAGTGCAAGACCGCTCAGGCCTTGTACGACGCTGTAGTTGCGCGCTACTCCTCCCCTTCCACTGCAACACTGAGCCGCCTCATGCTACCGTACCTCTTCCCTGAACTTGCTGCCTTTCCCACAGTCACTGACCTCTTTACCCACCTTCGCGCAAGTGACACTCGCTACCGAGCTGCGCTTCCTGCTGCCTTCCTCGCCGAAAACCCCCCTCCCATGTACATCACCCTCTACTTTCTAGTCACCCGTCTCCCTGAGTCCATTCGTGCTGTTAGGGACCAGATTCTCTCTGTCTGTCCCACCACCCTCACTGTCGACCTCCTTGAGAAGTCCCTGCTAGCAGCCGAGAAGAGCATAGTCGCTGTAGGGGCCTCTCGTGGTGACCCGCGCACCCCCATCTTTGAGGGGTGTTCTCCTTCCCCCCTGCTACCCTCTATCGCCTCTGCTGCTGCGGCCGACCTCGTTGGTTTAGAGTCGGTCGGTGCGGCGTCTGCCCCCAACGGTAGGCGCCGCTCTAGGAGGAGCAAGGGGGGCAAGGGAGCGGGTGGAGCTAGCGGGGGCGGTGGCGGAGGAGGTGGGGGCGGCGGGGGGAGTGGGGGTGGCGGTGGGGGTGGAGGCAGGAGTGGAGGTACTGGTGGCGGCGGTGGAGGCAGAGGTGGCGGCGGAGGTGGTGGCGGAGGAGGCAGTGAGAGCGGCGGGGGCGAGGGTGGCGGTGGCGGCGGTGGCGGCGGAGGCGGGGGTGGCGGTGGTGGAGGTGGTCGGAGTGGCTCGTCCCAGAGGAGCGGCACTGGGGGTGGTCAGCGCCAGCAGCAGCAGCAGCAGCAGCAGCAGCACTCTCGCGACGTCCCCGCCCCTCAGCAGCTCCGTGAGTGGTACTCGCAGCGTCAGCGTGGTGGGGCGTTCGGTCCCTGCACCTACGTCCTTCGCACTGGCGACCGCGCGGGTGAGCAGTGTGGGGGCACCCACACCGCTCGCTGCTGCTTTGCCCGCCTGACCGACGCTTGGCGCCAGCAGTTTCCGGAGGCCTCTGAGATCCCCCGCTGGGGAGAGCTGTCTCGGGCTGGTGTAGCTGTGCTTGATCTTGACTTTGATGCTATCCTTGCTGCCATGTATGCTGTGACTGTTAGTGATGATGGTGACTGTTACCGGTGCTTTCCGCCCGACCCGGGCATTGGTACTGCTGTGTCAGGTGCCAGTGAGGCTGCTGCTCTAGGTGCCAGTGCGTCTGTGCTCTCAGGTGCTAGTGAGTCTGCCCTCTCAGGTACTGTGTCGGCTTTTGCCTCCCACACCTTCACCCTTGATTCTGGAGCGTCTCGCTCCTTCTTTCGGGACCGCACCACTCTCACGCCGCTTAGTCGGCCGGTTGCGGTGTCCCTGGCTGACCCCTCTGGGGGTCCTATCCTGTCTCGTTTCTCCACAGTCCTCCCGTGTCCGGCGGCTCCCTCTGGCACCCTGACTGGTCTTTACCTCCCCTCGTTCTCTACAAACCTGGTGAGTGGTGCTGACCTACAGGATGTGGGGGTCCACCAGTTCACTCCTGCTCGTCAGCGGGTGACACACTGCACAGAGGCTAGCACAGGTCGCCACCTGGCTACGTTTACACGTCAGCCAGGGTCGAGCCTGTACACACTGACCACTGCTTCTCCTCCCGGTGCTGAGTCTGGTAGAGTCCCTTCGTCTGGTCAGGTGTTTGCTGCAGCGTCCAGGTCTGGTCCTGAGTCTGCCCCCTGTTCGTGTCGCCGTCTGTCTCACGAGAATCTCCTGTGGCACCACCGCCTTGGCCACCCCTCTCTGCTTCGGCTCAGAGGCATGGCCTCCCGTCTTCTTGTGTCTGGTCTCCCCCGGTCCCTCCCTCCCCTTCCTCAGGGCCCTGGCCCTGCCTGTGTCCCCTGTGTCGAGGGGCGCCAGCGTGCTGCCCCTCACTCCTCCCAGTTTCCTCCGACAGAGGCTCCGTTGCAGACGCTTCACATGGACGTGTGGGGCCCTGCCCGCGTCCGTGGACTCGGTCACGAGCGCTACTTCCTGTTGGTGGTTGACGACTACTCGCGTTACACCACAGTCTTCCCCTTGCGCAGCAAGGGTGATGTCACTGAGGTGCTGATCGACTGGATCCGTGCAACTCGTCTCCGGCTCAGGCAGAGCTTTGGCTCGGACTTTCCTGTGTTGCGTCTGCACTCGGACAGAGGCGGAGAGTTCTCCTCTTGCCTTCTGCGTGCCTTCTGTCGTGTGCGAGGCATCCACCAGACCTTCACGCTTCCGGACTCACCGCAGCAAAATGGGATTCCAGAGCGCCGCATTGGCATGGTCATGGACGTCGCTCGTACGTCTATGATGCATGCGGCTGCCCCCCATTTTCTGTGGCCGTTTGTGGTCAGGTACGCGGCGCATCAGATCAACCTCCACCCCAGGGTCTCCAGGCCGGAGACCTCCCCAGCCCTGCTGTGGACGGGGAAGCTTGGCGATGCGTCGGCGTTCCGAGTCTGGGGATCTCGAGCGTTTGTCCGCGACTTGTCTGCGGACAAGCTGTCCCCTCGCGCTGCTCCCTGCGTCTTCCTGGGGTTCCCCCCCGACGCCCCTGGGTGGCAGTTCTACTACCCCACCTCTCGACGTGTTCTGTCCTCCCAGGACGTCACGTTCGACGAGTCGGTACCCTACTACCGCCTCTTCCCCTACCGCACTCCTTCCCTTCCCCCGCCCCCGCTCTTCTTGGTACCAGGTCCCCCCCCCGGTAGACCCCCTTCCCCCTAAGGGTCCTGCCCCTTCAGGTGTGTCCCAGGTAGACGCGATCGAGCCTGTCGAGGTCACTGGTGACTCTGGTGCTGCTGCGGGAGCTGAGCCTGGGGGTGCTGAGCCTGGGGGTGCGGAGTCTGGGGGTGCTGAGCCTGGGGGTACTGAGCCTGGGGGTGCTGAGCCTAGGGGTACTGAGTCTGGGGGTGCTGAGCCTGGGGGTGCTGAGTCTGGGGGTGCTGAGCCTGGGGGTGCTGCGACTGGGGGTGCTCCGCCTGGAGGGGCCTTGCCTGAGGGTGCTGAGCCTGGAGGTTCTTCGCCTGGAGGTTCTCCGCCTAGAGGTGCTTCGTCTCGCCGAGAGCCACTCTCCCCACAGGAGCTGCGTGAGTGGTTTGCCCGGCGCTGGAGGCGTACTGCTGGTGCTGGAGGTTCTTCGGCTGCAGAGGGTGCTGCTGCCGCGTGTCCCGGAGGTGCTCGTACTGTGGGTGCTGGAGCTGCTGGGCCTGATGGTTCTCCTGGAGCTCGTGCTGCTGAGGGTGTTGGCGGTGAGACTACTGCTGGCGGTCCGACTGGCAGTGCTCCTGGTGCTGCTGGGAGTTCTGGAGCTGCTACTGGTGCTGCTGGAGGTGCTCCTGGAGGTGCTGCTGGAGCGGGTACTCCTGCTGGGGGTACTGGTGCTATCCTTGCTGTTTCTGGCGTCGCCACGCGGCCCCGGCCGTACTTCGTTCCGCTCCTGCAGCAGGTTCTTGGTCATACACCTTCTCCTGGTCCACCTCCGCCTCCCTTAGAGGGTCTACAGCCTATCCAGTCCCAGTCACAGCTACAGCCCGCCTCCCCTTTGCCTGCTCCTTCTCCATACGCTGGTCCGACTGGAGGTCTTACTGAGCGTCGTGAGCCTGCGTCCCGTCCTGCGTCGCCTGTTCGTCCTGCACGCACTAGTGGTCGCGGTTCGCGTCAGCGTCCTCCTCCAGTCCCTGGCACGCACCGGATGTCTCTGCGTCCGTCCACTGCTCCTCTGCGTGCCCCTTTGCCTTCTCCTCCTGAGTCCTCTCTTCTTGCTCTTGCCGACCCGGAGTCGGACTCTCTTCGTGCTGCCAGTCCCACTGTCACGCGTCTCCTTGCTACTGCTGTCACTGACCCTTCCTTCGAGTCTTCTGCTGCGTCTGCCCTTGTCACTGAGCTTGTCGACTTTGCTGCGCGCTGTCGTCTAGACTACGCTGCTAGTCTTGTCGCTGAGTCTGAGTCTGCCTGTCCTCTGTCCGTCGGGGGTGAGTGTGCCCTAGGCACGGACGTCCTTGAGGACAGGCAGGAGGAGTTCCAGTGCCTGGCCGCCGCTTCACCTCATCTCGCGTCTGTACTGCTCGCCCCTGAGGGAGACCCGGATGCACTAGACATCCCGACTCCGCGCTCTTACGCGGAGGCGATAGAGGGTCCCTACTCCTCTCAGTGGCAGGCAGCTATGGATGCAGAAATGGCTTCCTGGAAGTCCACAGGCACCTACGTTGACGCTGTTCCCCCTCCTGGGGCGAACATTGTCAGTGGCATGTGGATTTTCAGGGTGAAGCGGCCGCCGGGTTCTCCGCCTGTCTTCAAGGCGCGTTACGTGGCTCGTGGCTTCAGTCAGCGGCAGGGAGTTGACTACTTTCAGACCTTCTCTCCCACCCCGAAGATGACCACTCTTCGGGTACTGCTGCACGTTGCTGCTCACCGTGACTACGAGCTGCACTCTCTCGACTTCAGCACTGCTTTCTTGCAGGGCAGCCTGCACGAGCAGCAGCAGCCCCTGGAGCAGCCGCCCCAGCAGCAGTAGCCCCTGGAGCAGCCGCCCCAGCAGCAGCAGCCCCTGGAGCAGCCGCCCCAGCAGCAGTCGCCCCAGCAGGAGCAGCCCCAGCAGCACCAGCCCCTGGAGCAGCCGCCCCAGCAGCAGCAGCACCTGGAGCAGCCGCCCCAGCACCAGCAGCCCCTGGAGCAGCCGCCCCAGCAGCAGCAGCCCCTGGAGCAGCCGCCCCAGCAGCAGCAGCCCCTGGAGCAGCCGCCCCAGCAGCAGCAGCCCCTGGAGCAGCCGCCCCAGCAGCAGCAGCCCCTGGAGCAGCCGCCCCAGCAGCAGCAGCCCTTGGAGCAGCCGCCCCAGCAGTAGCAGCCCCTGGAGCAGCCGCCCCAGCAGCAGCCGCCCCAGCAGGAGCAGCCCCAGCAGCAGCAGCCCCTGGAGCAGCCGCCCCAGCAGCAGCAGCCCCTGGAGCAGCCGCCCCAGCAGCAGCAGCCCCTGGAGCAGCCGCCCTAGCAGCAGCAGCCCCTGGAGCAGCCGCCCCAGCAGCAGCAGCCCCTGGAGCAGCCGCCCCAGCAGCAGCAGCCCCTGGAGCAGCCGCCCCAGGCCCCTGCAGCAGTCGCTCCTAGACCCGGTGCAGCCGTGGGGGGGGGGGTGTGGGGGTGATGGTTGTGGGGGTGTCGGTTGTGCGTGCCATCCCCTCCTCCTCCTCCTTCGTCTCCCACTGCTGCAGCTATCGCTAAGGGGGGTGGATGTGTGGGAGTCTAGGGTTTAGGGTTTAAGGGGGTGCTGTGGGTGTAGGGCTAGGGTTTGAGCAGGGGGTGTGTGAGAGGGGCGTTGGGCAGCTGGGGGAGGTTGAGTGGAGGCAGCAGTCTTGTCGTCAGCAGCACCAGCAGTCCGGAGGCTACAATCTCCGGTAGTCGCCAGTCGCCTGTGGGTCAGTTGCTCGTCTGCCGCTACTTTTAGCCGCGGAGCCAGTTACTCCTGTAGTCCGGGCCTTTGCTTCGGTAGCCACTGAGCCAGCAGCTCGTCTGTGTGTCTACAGCGTCAGCAGTCGGCTCCCATCTTCTCTCCCCCACAGTCTCTCCTCCTCCTCACTTGCCCACTGTGATTAGCTCTAGCCTTACTTACCTATTGTGAACTCTAGCTCTATGCCTGCATGCTGTACTGATTATACCCCACTTTGACCATGGGGGTGTGTCAGATTATAATGCATGTCTAGTCTGTAGTGGGGTACTCAAAAGTGAGTATAACCCTTTTAGGGCTTACTACTTGTATCCCCCTCCTTTCTAGTTTCAACATTCTCCTTCCACAATTCTCTCGACATTTCACTTACACCCTAAAACTCGAATTCACTCCTTAACTACCATGGCTCCTAAGCCTAAGTCACGCTAGTATCTCAACACGCTCCCTATATCCGGCCAGCTTCGCAGCTCCACTCGTTTCCCGTTGTTGTAGATGCACGTTTTCCGGTTGACCCAGTCGATCTCGGGGTTGAACCGCTTCAGAAAATCTCGCCCCAAGATGAAATCTAATCCCTTGATGTTCGTGATCGGCAACGTCGGCTTCCACCTCAATGCCCCTATC